TTTTTTTTTTTTTTTTTTTTTAAAAAGGGCGGCAGTCTTGAGGTATATGCATCCACAGGTGACTGGCCCCAAGTAAGGGAGGGACTTAGCCATGTGGTGGGCACCTGAAGAAATTGAGGAAGCGGAAAAAAGGGTTATTAATTTTAGGGGAGTAGCAGGGGTATTTAGGGGACTGACAGTCCCCTGAATGGATAAGGAGCCGGAACCATAAGGTTCCGTTATTTTTTATTTTATTTTTTAAAGCAGGGGTATTTAGGGGAGTAGCAGGCGGTTGTGAAGACGGATGATGCAAATGTTGGAGGGAAAGGGTGGAGAAGGGGAGAAAAAGAGGAACAATGGAGAGGGGGGGAATGTGGAGGGAGGAGGAGGTTTAGCCATGTGGTGGGCACTTGAAGAAACTACATGTACCTTAAGCTTTTCGGTAAGCTCTTCTTTAACTCTTTTCTGCGCCTTTTGTGTGATCTGTTCTAGAAGTTTGGCCATGGCTTTCTTTTCCTTTGCCGCATCGCCGGAAACCACCTCTCCTCCCTCTCCCACCTCCATGCGGCTTGTGATGTCCAACACCTCCAGCGGAGTGATCTTCTCCGGCAAGGATCCACCACCTCTTCTCTCCCACAACACTTCCCGAGCCACGCTCCAGTCCTTTGCCCTGCTGATTACCAAATTCGCGCAGTCCCACTCTCTATGTTTCATGGCTTGAACAAACGCCATCGCACTATCAACGATAAGGCTCAGGCCAGACCTCTCAATCACATGGCTTTGCTCAGGAGAGGCAGCAGCACAGGCTGTTACTCTGGTGGTTGTCTTCTTTCTCCCACCCCTCTCTTCTTCAGTCATGCTTTCGTCCACTCTCTCATGCCCGCTCCCCTCCAGCAACACATCCACTATTCTGGACGCTTCATTCTTCCGCTTCTCGCATGTGCTCGCGGCGGCCATAGCCAATTGCTTGTCGCCACTAGAAGAGGAGGGATCAATGCCTGATGATGATGATGATGATGATGATGATGATGATGAGGATGATGATGAGGATGAGGATGAGGATGCCCGTGCCCCTGACCGCCGCCATAGCTGACCACTAGAAGAGTTTGCGTCCAAAGTAAATCCAGGAAGCGGATGGCTTGGGTGCCCATCTTCTGCGGAGGAGCAATTGGTGTTCGCGATCCTTATTGCCCAGCACAGAAAGCGTGCGGGGAATTTCATAAGACCACCACTTATTTCTCTATCCGTCAGCAAAGCACCTGTGACCTTTGCCGACCGGAAAAGGTCGATATATTGCGGAAGACCTTTGATCACCAGCCAATTAATAGCATCGACGGCAGTCCAATTCGCTTTGTCAACCTGCGATAAACAAAGAGGAAGATCTCTGTGTTGAGTATAAAACAGTTTAAAACTCCATGAACACATCTACCTACAGGGTGAAATGGATTGTCTTGTTTTTTTTTTTGTTTTTTTTTTTTTTTGTGAAATGAATTGTACATAGAGTCTGGACTCAGAAAATAAAGCAGAAGTTACAATATGGGCATGGGACTGAGCCTGTACATATTTGTAATGTTGTACCATAATGTGTACATAGTACATAGTGCATACTAAGCACTACTGTCTACATAGTACGTAAGTACATACATAGTACATACTAAGTACTACATACTACATAAGTACATTCATAGTACATACTAATCCTACATAGTACATAACATACTAAGTACTACATAGTACATAAGTACANCATAAGTACATTCATAGTACATACTAATCCTACATAGTACATAACATACTAAGTACTACATAGTACATAAGTACATTCATAGTACATGCTACATACCATACGTACCACATAGTACATACCATACATACTAAGTACTACGTCATACATACGAAGTACTACGTAGTACATAGTACAAAATACAATACATACTATATAGTATATACTAAGAACTACACAGTTCATACTAAGAGCTACATTAGCAAATTTCAGTTCCAGTCCCTCTGCATTCTGTCAGACTACAGGTCCACTGTGCTTTGCTATTTCCTAAGGACACTGTAGCTCAGCTTTGCCTACAGATACACTTAGTTGTCTAGGTTCAGAAGATAGCAAGTGTGTTCTCACAGGGGGACTCTGATTTGGGGCGGAGGAGCGGATGCTTGGGCTCAGGCTGGATTCGAACTCAGAGCCCGACCCAGACAACAGAAACTGTAGGTAGCTGTTGTTTTGCTTGATTGTTGCTTCTTTCTGGGATTCAAATTTCAAACCGAGGACCTGCGAGGTAAAAATTAAAAAATTCCTTTTTTTTCCAACTTTTTCCAACTTTTTTCAACTCTTTTCAACTTTTTTCAACTTTTTTCAACTTTTTTCAACTTTTCCAGACTTTTTTTTCAACTTTTTTCTCAACTTTTTTCTCAACTTTTTTCTCAACTTTTTTTTCAACTTTTTTTTCAACTTTTTTTTCAACTTTTTTCAACTTTTTTCCAACATTTTTCCAACTTTTTCCAACTTTTTCCAATTTTTTTCAAAATTTTCGTCTACTCCATTTTTCTTCGGTAGATTAGATTCTCTTGTCTGAGTTTCTGTCGTTGGGAAGAGAAGTCGTGAGGGCTGGTGGGCCCAGCTCATCAAAAACTACCGAGAAAGCTAGTCAGGGTGGCTAGATGTACACTCATGAACTGCTATCAAAAGCAGACCTGAGTTCGAATCCTCCTAAACTCAGACAAATAAAATAACTGTAAATTACCAGGGGCCGGTGAGTTCGATGTTCATACCTCAAGGCCATTAGTTCGTGTGGCGGGATGGCACACTGAGGATGAACTGTTGATGAAAAGCAGACCTACCTTCGAATACCGGTAGACTCAGATGAACCCCAAAGCCCTCAATCCTAAGCCCTAACCCCAAAATCCAAAACCCGAAATCCTAAGCCCTAAGCCCTAAACCATAAGCCCCAAACCATTAAACCCTAAACCCTAAACCCTGAACCCCAAACCCTAACTCTAAACCCTGACTCTCTAAGCCCTGAACCCCGAACCCGAAACCCCAAACCCTGACTCTAAACCCTGAACCCCAAGCCCTAGACCCCTGACTCTAAACCCTGAACCCCAAACCCCAAACCACCCCTAAACACTAAATCCTAGCCCTAAACCCTAAACCCTGAAACCCTAAGCCATAAGCCCTAAACCATAAGCCCCACACCATAAACCCGCCCTAAACTGAGTGCTAGATCCTAAACCCTGTATCCCAAACCCCAAACCCCAAACCCCAGACCCCAGACCCCAGACCCCAGACCCCAAACCCCAAACCCCGAACCCCAAACCCCAAACCACCCTTAAACCCTAAGCCCCAAATCCTATCCCTAAACCATAAACCCTGAACCCTAAACCTTGGGCCCTAAACCCTAACGCCTAGAATACAGACTCTGCTACCACCCAACTCTTCAGTTTTGGAATGGTCTGCATACCCCACCCCCCTTCCCCCGCCCCCCCTCCCTGGCCCTGACCATAAAACCCACGCACACGAATGTTAGGAGGCCTCTTTTTCTTTCCCCCCCTTCAAGTCGTACGCGACTAAGGCCCAGTTTAAGGACTGTGACTCACAAGTTCATTCCAATTGGAACTGGAGGGGGCTGCCAGGACTGTGGTCAGCCACGTGGGGGCTGGGGGGCCGTGGCAGATCGAGATGATGGGGAGACGGGGAGCTCGGGGGGCGCAGGGGGGGGCAGGGGGGGCCATACGGGATGTTTTATTATTTGTTTACCTTTCTCTGCCTCTCTTCAATTTTCATTTTCAGAATATTTGCCACTCCCCGATGCCCCGCCTTTACTGCGATCTCTATTGGGGTCTCGTCAGCAGCCGACAGGCTTGGGGGCTCTTCTCCCATGTTTCCCTCATTCACACAGCGGTGCACGTCGACATCGCCACCTTTCCTTCCTTCTTCGCTGCTGACACAGCCATAGCCAACAGGTTCCCCATAGCCCTCCCCTTCGCCGCTTTCGTGAAGTCCAATGGGATCCCCTCCGGCCTTGAGTAGGGATCTGACAACCCCCTCTACACCCCTTTCACAAGCGTACATAACAGCCGTGTACCCAATCTTTACAGGATCTCCTCTGTGTCCAGTGGTGATGCCTGCAGGTCCATTCTGACCACTCTGCCAAGTCTGACAAGTCTGACATCTTTCATCCCTGGAGGAGGGTGAATCCTGCATTGTAGCCTGCGCTTCGTTCACCACCTCCTTCTCCTTCTCATGCTCCCTTCTTCTTACCCTCCTCCTCCTCACTCTAGGAAATGTTCTCCGCCGAGGATTTGCTCCCCTTTCCAGCAGCAAATCTACGGTTGCCAATTGACCTCTGCTTGCCGCATACATCAACGCATCACGGCCGTCCAAATCAACACGATGAATCTCCGCACCGCTGTCCAGCAGTAGTTGTACGATTGGTACACTCCCTCTCGCTGCAGCAGCCATTAATGGCGATAGCGATGGCCGTTGATCGTCATAATCATCACCATCATCATCGTCGCCGTCACCACCACCATCATCATCGTTGTCTTCTCCTCTTCCCCCTCCTCCGATTGCTTTTTCCACACGGTCGCGGTAGTCAGACTTACATGTTTCTTTATCTCCTCCTCCTCTTCCTCCTCCTCCTCCTCCTCCTCCTCCTCCTGCTGCTGCTGCTGCTGCTGCTGGTTCTGTTGTTGCCCCTCCTAGTTCGTCCAACTCCTCTGCCCCTCCACCTCCGCTTCCTGCTTCTCTCCCGCTACCTCCTCCCTTCTCGTCCTTGACTGCCTCTCGTCTTTTCTTCATCCCATTCCCATCTCCTCCTCTGTGTTCAGGCTGACAACTGTCCTCCTCCCCCTCCTCCTCCTCCTCCTCTCGATTGACAGCAGAAGACCCCTGTGGTACAATTGGCGCACTCTCTCTCGCTGCACCAGACTGAATTACAGGGCAGTGATGAGTCCCCCCTTCTTCAATTTCATCTCCATGCTCATCGCAACCCCGACTATCATGACCATGGCTATGGCGGAGATGAGGCAGTTGCGGCTGGTCTTCATGTCCGCCCGAAGGCCGGTCAGCGCTCCTTCGTTCATCGTCTTCTTTTTCTGTCTTACACGCGTCACCGTTCTCCGTAGCTGAGCTGTTTCCCACCACGGAGCACGACGACTCCAAGCTTCGACCTCCTCCTTGCTTCTTCTTCGTCTTCTTCGTGTCCGCGCTCATCGCCATAGCCGCCATCCTCGTCACCTTCTTCTTCTTTTTCTTCTTCTTCTTCTCCTCCTGTTCTCCTGTCTTTGGTGCTGCAATCATCCCTCCTTCCACATCTGCCCCTCCATCCAGCAGAGCCTGGACAACCTCCATGTGGCCCCCGGCACAGGCCCAAGTCAATGCATCCCAGCCGTTGGATGACATCTTCGATGTGTCTGTTTGTTGAAGATGCATGAGAGCTCTGACAGCCTCCACGTGTCCTTCCATAGCGGCCATATGCATTGTCGTCAACCTAGATTGAAATGACACGTGGCAGAACATAAGCACCACCGTTCGCTGGCGCGATCGTAAAACCTGGCGTGATGAAAGTCGTGAATTAAATTAATCAATATAATTCTTCCACTCCAAAATTACCATATCTGTTTTCACCAACTTTTCAGAAATTAGATTTCTTTTTCTTTTTTGAAGAAAAAAAAAAAGGTCTCATCAAATGGCCACAAATCTACAACGAACCGCCTCCAAATCAAAGGCAAACTCCAACATCCATCAATCCGAAAGTTCACAGTAAGCTCACACAACACAACGGGAGATGGCGATTACCCCAAAAAGTGGCAAAAAGTGAATTGATAATCCCCCGAATCATCAGAATTGCACGAGTTCCAGCTATATATTACAAGCTGTTATGTCCAGCCGCTATCGCCGTTCACACCACTCAGATCTCCCTCTCTCCCTCTCTCTCTCTCTCTCTCTCTCTCTCTCTCTCTCTCTCTCTCTCTCTCTCTCTCTCTCTCTCTCTCTCTCTCTCTCCACCACTTCAGACTCTCTCTCCCCTGCTCTCGGAACCTTGGACCTCTTACACTCGCTCTCTGAATGCACTCGCGATCCACTGACTTCGTCTCTTTCCTACCCTACTTAACCCTGCAGCTATGGATGCCACCTTCGTCCCCGTCAACCCCACCTACGGCGCCCGACCGCCCTTCTTCTCCAACGTCACCCGACTGTCAGCTTGCGCAGTTGCACAAGCGCTCCAGCATAGCTTCCGCAATATGTGGATTGACGAGTGACCCGATGAAATACTGCAGGATCTATTAACAGCAGCTGAAGTGAATCGTTGTCGTCTTTCCGGACTGGTACTGGTCGATGCAGCCTGTCGGCTGCAGATTGCCAGTTCCGGAACTTGCCGGACCTTTTTTTTTTTTTTTTTTTTTTTTTTTTTTTTTTTTTTTTGCACCCTGAGACACAGGCCCTTTTATTCTGGGCGGCAACAGTCCGGTTGCTTATCACCGCCAAGCATGGTTGTACATATACGAGAGAAAAGGGGGGGGAATACGAGAGAAAAAAAAGTCAGCCTATCCCTTGCGGCCCTAGCCGCATACAAGGGGGGACCTGCTACAGGGCAAACCTCCCCCCAATCCCTGGCCTTCCTTAGGAGGGGGGGTGCCCTGCTGGTCGGGAAGTTTACTAGCAGCACCCAGTCACGAAGCAGGGCAGCCTCCCGGATGACAGGACACCGAGGGAGGGGGGGGGAAGGGGGAGGGGGGTTCCCTAGCAGCTCCTCAGGCCGCGTAACACCTGTGCGTTTGCCTGTCACTGCCTCATGCAGCATCTTTTTTTTTTTTTTTTTTGGAAAAATTTGGACCATTTCTCTATTTATGCGTGTCATCCTTGCGCAGGGGCCATGCTAATCTTCTCTGTATCGTTCCAATTTTAAGTTTTAACGGATGTCCCGAAAGACAAACTCGTGCAGCATATCATCCCACCCCTATTACCCTTTCTTCTGCCTGAGCCTTATCGGGCCCATTTATACCTATTCCGGGCCTTATGTTGTCCTAATAACTCACTGGACTGCAAAATTGAATTTCGGGCCTGTGGACTTTTCTTGTCGGGTACCGGGCCTGCGACTTTTGACGACCTAACTACCGGACCCTACCAGACTACGACATTTCGGCCTCGAGACCCCAGGGGACTCCTAGGACTCTGGGCCTGGGACCTACCTGGACCAACTGGGACTGGGCCCAGGTGGGACTCCGGGACAGGAACTCGGGCATGGGCAGAGCATGAAATCCTTTCAAATCATTGAAAAATTGGGGGAAAAAAACAGAAGTAAGGACGGAAGGAGGACCCACTGGTGCCCCCCGGTGGCTCTTTCCGGTTTCCGGCCCAGGCCGTGGGTTAGGGGAGGGGCTGCTAGCTTCCCGGATAGGTTCTGGCATCTGGCGAGATGGAGGACGAGGCAGACCCCCAGTTTTCTGGTTTTCAGTCAGTCAGTCAGCGGCATGGGATGCTGGACCCCGTTTCCAGCACAGTGGTTTTTCTCTTTTTAGTCTCATGCTCATGTTCGTCTCAAAAACGGAAGTTTCACCTACAAAGCTCATATGGGACGCTGAGCCCAGTTCTCAGCACGTGATGCTCCCCACGAATAGATTGTGGTGCCTGAGTTAAAAAAAAAAAAAAAAAACGGAAAGAAACTTCAAGAAAGAAAGAAAGAAAGCCAAAAAAATTGAAACAACAAGGTTGGCCACCTTGTCTGTGCACTTTGCCTGTTTTTTTTTGTTTTTTTTTGTTTTTTTTGTTTTTTTTTTGTTTCTTTTTGTTTCTTTTTGTTTTTTTTTGTTTTTTTTTGTTTTTTTTTTTGTTTTTTTCACCAATCAAAATTCCTCTCATTGGATGCCACTGTTAACAAAAACAAAAAAAAAATGGTCAGAAATTCAAAATACTAAAAATAGCCTCATTAAATTATCTTGAGGGGTGTTCCACCATACCACAGTGGTAACTCATTTGCCCACGATGCCTTCGCTGGAGAGAGAGACTCAATTTCTCCCGACTTTGCTCGCTTCCGAGGAGATGCAAAGGATCTCAGTGTGAACTTTCACTGGGCCCAGGAGAGAGAGAGAGAGAGAGAGAGAGAGACAGAGAGACAGAGAGACAGAGAGA